TTTTTTTTTTTTTCAATTTATGTATTTTTTTTAACTGGATGAACTTGGTTCTATTTCTTTTGGTAATTTGTTGTGTTGTAAGTTGTCATCAATTGTTAAGCATGTTATGTTAATGGGATTTCTACTGTTGTTTCTTTGGAGCATGTTTACTTCATATGATGAATCTGTTATCAATTTGAAATCTTATATTTTTGTAACATGTGCCTTTGCTTTGCTGACTTTGCCTTTGCTTTGCTGACTTGACCATTGGAGAACACTTCGTCAGCCCTCTACCGCCTGTTTCCACTCTTTCAGGTTTTTTTTTTTTTTCTCCTACCTAGACAGCCACATTTTATTTCATTTCATTTTCTTTGCTATCCTTTGCAATCCTTTATTGCTTTAGTTGCTAAAAAGAAAACAATTTTTAAGATTGAAGTAAATAGCAAAGAGAGTTCCTATTTAGGAATCACCATAATAGAAAAGAACTCAGCTCTAATAAATCCCTAGTAAGTTTTTTGACTAAGAACTTCTTTTAATTTTCATTAGGGTTTTATACTTTTTTTTCCCCATTATAGATAAATTGATTTTTAGGTATACATGGCTGAAATTGAGTCCTTTTGAAATGCGGAGTTCAGTACAATCGATTGACAATTGACAGGAAGACATCCAGGCTCTGGTTTCTGATGAACTATAAGTAATAACTGTTAATTTCGCTGTATTTATTTTTTATCATTGCTATACTTTAACACTTCATAATTAATATCATTCACCCGCTATAGTAATATAATATGCATTTCAAGTTCTTAAGCTAAGTCCGTTTGATGTTATTGAAATTTTTGATAAAAGTCATATTTGAAATAATTTGTTATAGAAGTTTTATTTTTGAAAAGTACAAATTATTTGGTAAAATTTTATTTAAAAATACTTTCAGAATAAAAAGTTATTTAATAAATTCTTTATAAAAGATCTTTTAATCTAATGTAATATTAAAATAATTGAAATATACATTTTTTACTTACTAAAACACTACTCTTACTTTATTGTTTATTTTATATTTCTATAAAACTTTAATTTTTTAATAATTTTAAAATTGATGATTAAAAATTG